GGAGTATCTTGCATTTCACAGAATCATAGTTGGAAGAGAGCTCATGAGCCATCCAGTCCAACCCCCCACCAAGAAGCAGGAAAATCACATTCAAAGCACCCCTGATAGATGGCCATCCAGTCTCTGTTTAAAAGCCTCCAAAGAGGGAGCCTCTAAAACACTCCAGGAGAGAGAGTTCCACTGCTGAACAGCTCTCACAGTCAGGAAGTTCTTCCTAATATTCAGGTGGAATCCCCTTTCCTGTAATTTGAAGCCATTGTTCCATTGCGTCCTAGTCTCCTGTTGAACGTTATTTTGTTAGTTTTGACCCATCTCTCTACATTCATTCACAATAATACAAAAGTATTGTGTTATAAGAGCACATGATTATGGTTTTTTTGTTTTTGTTTTTTGTCGTGTCAGGCGCAACTTGAGAAACTGCAAGTCGCTTCTGGTGTGAGAGAATTAGTCGTCTGCAAGGACATTGCCCAAGGGACGCCTGGATGATTTGATGTTTTTATCATCCTTGTGGGAGGCTTCTCTCATGTCCCTGCATGAGGAGCTGGAGTTGATAGAGGGAGCTCATCCGCCTCTCCCCGGATTCGAACCGGGGGCTCCGCATGATTATGGTAAGACAATGGGAAAACTTTTGGAGATTACAGTTTTGCACACTGTTGTGTGTATACTCATGTATAAGTCTAGAAATATCATCTAGATCCATATGAAAGTAAGGAGGCCAGCTGTAAAAGTGGACAGAAGGGTGTAACACTCATAAGGCTTGTGTTGAAGAAAGCATTTCACAATTGCAGCTTCTCTGCAGCTATTACAAGCAGCTATTACAAGAAACCTTGGTTTCTTTACATCTAACCACTCTGCTTAGAACAGAACCACTCTTTGCCAGCAGGCATACCGGTTCGGAAATCAGGGGGGAAAACCTAAGATCCACCTGAAACTAATTAGAGTGATATGAAAAGATCCAGGGACTATTCCTAACTCCAGAACCCAACAAGTAAATAGAAAAAAAGCAACTTCATAAATCAATTCTAACAAATCAATCATGTAACCCCACTATAAAACTGAGCTGTGACTGGGGCCCCTTCCACACAGTCCTATATCCCAGATATATCACAGATATCCTATAATGCTGCCTGAGCTCTGCAAGTACAGCATTTTTCCAAATGAAGCGCAGAGTGTTTGAAGACCGGGACATCCATAAGGATACCAAGGTGCTTGTTTATAAAGCTATTGTCCTCCTAACCCTGCTATACGCCTGTGAGACGTGGACAGTCTACAGACTTCACATGCATCTCCTAGAACGTTTCCATCAGCGCTGCCTCCGGAAAATCCTGCAAATCTCTTGGGAAGACAAGCGGAAAAACGTCAGCGTGCTGGAAGAAGCAAAGACCACCAGCATTAAAGCGATGGTCCTCCGCCATCAATTCCGCTGGACCAACCATGTTGTCCAGATGCCCGATCACCATCTCCCAAAGCAGTTGCTCTACTCCAAACACATAAATGGAAAATAAAATGTTGGTGAACAGGAACAGAGATTTAAAGATGGGTTCAAAGCCAACATTAAAAACTCTGGCATAGACACTGAGAACTGAGAAGCCCTGGCTTTTGAGTGCTCCAGCTGGAGGTCAGCTGTGACCAGCAGTGCTGCAGAATTTGAAGAGGCACGAATGGAGGGCAAAAGGGAGAAGCGTGCCAAGAGGAAGGCGCGTCAAGCCAACCTCGACCGAGACCGCCTTCCACCTGGAAACCAATGCCCTCACTGCGGAAGAAGATGCAGATCAAGAAGAGGGCTCCACAGTCACCTACGGACCCATCAGAACATTGATCTTGGAAGACTATCCTACTCAGACAATGAGGGATCGCCTAAGTAAGTAAGTAAGTAGTATATCCCAGCGTATAAAGGCAGAAAATCCCATATTATCTGGGTGTGTACTCAGATCACCCAGTCCAAAGCAGATATTGTGGGATTTAATGCCTTGACATTCTGGGATACAGGGCTGTGTGGAAGGGCCCTAGTCATTTCAAATCCTGAGGCATTTCCTTCCATTCCCTTTGCTTTTCTGGCCCATCCTACACTGCCATAAAACCCAGATTATCAAAGCAGAAAATACACATTATCTGATTTAAACTTAGGCCCCTTCTACACAGCAAATAATGTTGAATTTATACCGCTGTGTAGAAAGGGCCTCTTTCTCTGGAAACTATAAAGATTCCAAAGGCCGTCGTCCTTTCTGAGTGTTATATCATTCCCTAAAGAAGTTAAAATATAAACAGCACCCTTCAAGTTATTTCTGACGCATGTACTGACCCCATGAGTGTGATGGGTAAGGACTGAGTAATGTCACTGGAAGGCCATTTTTCCAATGCTCAGCTATGCTGCTCCTTGCCTCTTGTAGTAAGTGAGTTAGGAGGCAATGATGCATAGAACCTCCACTTACATTGTGACCTCAGTCACAGGACACAGACATTCCCCTTCCAACCAGTGATGGAATAGCCTGTTACTGTGTTCGATTGCAGGCATATGATGAATGATATGACTTAGTGGACCTCTCCTCTCACCCCCAACAAAGCCCCATCTACACTGCCATATAATCCAGTTTCTGAATGTATTTATTTACAGCATTTACATTCTGCCCTTCCCACCCCAAAGGGGACTCAGGGCAGATTACAGAACACATACACAACAAACATTCAATGCCTTTAAAGCAGGGGTCCTCAAACTAAGGCCCGAGGGCCGGATGTGGCCCTCCAAGGTCATTTACCTGGCCCTCGCTCAGGGTCAAGCTAAGTCTGAAACGACTTGAAAGCACACCACAACAACAACAACCCTATCCCATCAGCCAAAAGCAGGCCCACACTTCCCACTGAAATACTAATAAGTTTATATTTGTTAAAATTGTTCTTCATTTTAATTATTGTATTGTTTTTAAGTGTTTTTGCACTATAAATAAGATATGTGCAGTGTGCATAGGAATTCATTCATGGTTTTTCAAATTATAATCCGGCCCTCCAACAGTTTGAGGGACTGTGACCTGGCCCTCTGCTTAAAAAGTTTGAGGACCCCTGCTTTAAAGAGACAGGACAGATAACAGATGTCGGCAACTTTCCTAACTTTGGTATCCTGGGTGTTGTGCTCAATTCCGGCCACAGGGGGTGCTGTCACTCCATCTCTAATATTTATTTTATGATACCATAAAACACTCCTCTGCTTAAGCGGTGCCTAATTTCTCTACTCACAGCTTACAGCTGTTTTCAAACTGCTTAGGTGCTATTATTTTAATTCGACTGTTTTAGTTAGTTAGAACTGTTGTCGTTACATTGTAATTTGTATATTGTATTTTGTGATTTGTTGGGCATCGAATTGTGCCTTTTGTAAGCCGTCCTAAGTCCCCCCTAGGGGGTTGAGAAGGGAAGGGTAGAAGCACTCCAAATAAATAAATAAATAAATAAATAGGTGGACAGTAAGCTGGGCTGAAGGTCAGGTGCTCACCCTGACCCAGGCTTCGAACTGCCGACCTTTCAATTGGTAAAATGTATTGCTGCTGGTGATTAACCAGCTGTGCTTAAGACCAGCACATTATCTGCTTTAAACTGGATTGTATGGCAGTGCAAATTAATATAATCTGATTTAAATCAGATAATCTGCATTCAGAAACTGGATTATATGGTCAGTGTAAACTGGCTTATATAAATTTGCAATGCCATATAATCCAGTTTAAAGCAGATAATCTGCATTCAGAAACTGGATTATATGGCAGTGTAGATGGGGCCCAAGTTTCTGATCAAACATATATTTGGTTTGTTAAAAAATAAACAGCACCCTGTTAAAATATCTATCATAACAAAGGCCCCTTCTACACTGCCATATAAAATCCAGGTTATCTGCTTTGAATTGGATTATATGGCAGTGTAGGCTCATATATTCCAGTTCAAAGCAGATAACGTGGAATATCTGATTTGATAATCAGGATTGTGGCACAGCTGGCTGAGTGTCAGCTGCATTAAGATCACTCTGACCAAAAGGTCATGAGTTCGAAGCCAGCCCGGGTTGGAGTGGGTTTCCAACCAATTGTGTGTAGCCTGTTGTCGACCTTTGCAACCCGAAAGACAGTTGCATCTGTCAAGTAGGAAAATTAGGTACCACCTTAAAGTGTGGGGAGGCTAAATTAACTAATTTATGAGGCCATAAAGAAGACTCCAGCAGAGCATTCCAGCGGGGAAGCATGCGGGGAATGCGGAAGCACTTCATCAGCGTCGCAGATGGATGATGAAAGCGACAGCTCCCCTGGCGGCCAGAAAAAGTTAAATAGCCTCTGTGTATGTCTGTATATGTTTGTATGTCAAAATTGGCGTTGAATGTTTGCCATATATGTGTACACTGTGATCCGCCCTGAGTTCCTTGTGGGGTGAGAAGGGCGGAATATAAAAGCTGTAAATAAATAAATAATATATTAAAATTATATGACAGTGTGGAAGGGGCCGAGAGCTTCCTCAGTGAAGAGGGCTCCTGTACCTTTACTGTCTGGGCATAGAAGAGGGGATTTCTGCCAGTCTGTTAGGCAACCAGGTAAGAAGTAATACCTGCTGAAATTCCCTCTTCTATACAACCATGAATGGTGCAGGGACCCTTTCCAGTTTGGACGATGGCAACCACCATCACTATGAAGGTGGTGGTGGTGGTGGTGGTGGGGGGGGGAGGTCACATGACTGCAAAATATAGTTCATTTGTTTCATGTCCCATGTTGGATTTTGGTACATTCTGGACGTGCTTATTGTAGCATCTACAGTGTGCTACTCTATCTGAGGATATCCTGTTTTAGAAGTATTGATCTGGCCACTGTGCACTGCCATCCATCCCCCTCTCGTCCCCAACTGCATCCCATATGCAGCCTTTTGAAGTGCTGTTGGGTCCTTCCCTGGGGGAACTGAGGCAGGGGTCCCTGGCTGAGATCTTGGGGGCCCATCTGAGTAGAAGTGGGGCAAAGGAGAAGGAAGAGATCACTTACCATAATGGCTTGCAGGCGCTGCGCAAACAGGGAGCTCTCTGCCATTTTCCCTCTGAAAGACAAACAGAGCCTCTTGGGATGTGTCCAGAGGACATTGGATGCTAGTTGGATGCCAGCATGCAACTTCTCTCCCCCCCCCCTTCCTCTTTCTTTCTTTCTTTCTTTCTTTCTTTCTTTCTTTCTTTCTTTCTTTCTTTCTTTCTTTCTTTCTTTCTTTCTTTCTCCTTCCTCGCCCCCAACATTCGTCTCACATTCTTCCTTGCTCTGATCCCTGCTGCACAAATAGAGCCCCCTCTCTCCCTCCCTTCCCCCCACACACCTGACATCTGGTCACTGCACATTCATGTCATTCAGCAACAAGCCCAGGCATGGTGGGGGAAGGGGGGGTCGGCAGGCAGGGTCTCCTCCCTGGGCTTCCTCCATCCCTTGGACCCCTCCCCAGGTTGCCTCCGTTTGAGTTTATTTGGACCTTTCCACGGCTGGAGGTAGAACCGCACAATTCTGCTCGAACGGCTTAAAATGTGCCGGAGAGGATGGAAGTTTCAAGTTGCTTTAAAAAAAGAACAAGACACTTCCAAAAGGGACTCGGGGCCAAGTCACGTGAGCACTTCTGACTCTGCAAATCTGCAGGTACAATAGTCTCCAGCAGCAGAGGAATAGCCAATATATGTGCTCAGAAAGAGAGAGAAAAAACAATTTTGCCTTGATGCAGAGCATCTTCCCCCCCAAGCACTTGTAGTTTGCCAAGGGCCGGACGATGGATTCTGTTGCTTCCTGACCCAGCACACATAACTGGGTTCCTGTTTCCTCTCTGTGAATTCTCTGGCTTGTGCACTGGACCCTGGCCCCTGATCAGGGAAATGCAGTTCCCCAAAGGACATTGCTCCACTCTCCACCATTTGCAGTTTCTTTTGCGGACCTTTCTGCCCTCACTGATTGACTTGATGCCCTATCATCATGGACTTCTTCCACGAACGCGAAACCAAGCCTCTCGGGGGAGAGTGGCCCCCACCTGTGTGTGTGCGTGCCCTTGCAAAAGGCTCATACCTCAAGAACTCTGCTGATTGCCTTTATCAAATTGCTGTATTCTTCTAATAAACTTTGCTGGGCTGAGCTGGGGAACCCCTTTATGGAAAATATGGAAAAAGCATATGGAATGTATGATATGAAATCTATGAAATGTACCCTGACCCCTTCCCCACCTTTTTCCCCTCTTGAATTTTACCCTGTAAAAGAGTATGTGACCTGGGATTACAGTTAAGGGAATCCAATTTCCTTGGAAGAGACTCCATTCATATTTACATTGCATGGACAAATACTGGCAGATCTATGGCCTTGTTTTCAGAGTCAGACGAACAAAAGCCAGAAACCTGTCAGCCAAAAGCCCGGAAAAACAGACTGATTAAATCAATCATGGTGTTTTGTGTACGCTCCCCTGTGACAAAGGACTCCCTTCGCCACAGGGTTGAGATCCAGACACCACCCATAGCCACCCTTATTTTCCTATACACATCTTTTATCGGAACCCAGGAAATCCCTTGTCTCCCCTTCCGCCTCCCTGCCGTGCAAAGAACAAAGGGTGTTCAATCAGCTGGCGGACGCCTCCCAGGCATTCCGCCCCTCCACGCTGTCAAAATACATCCCGCCTCCCGGCCGCTGATTGGACAATCTCCGGAGGCGCTCCGAGGGCGCTCATTGGCCCCCTGGAGGCGGCAGCGGCCGGCGATTGGAGGGAAGGCGGGACCAGCGGCCAGCCTCCTCCCAGCTGCTCTGGAGCCGGCCAATCAGGACAGAGGGAACTGACAGGAGGCGGGCGGGAGATTCAAACCGGGATTTCTTTGTTTCTTCTGTATAAATATGCCTGAAAATCACTGTACCGTATGCTTATAGAGGACTCATCCCTGTAATGCATCCTTTTCAGCTGAATCGCAAATAAAACGCCTCGGTCGCAGATTTCTCTTCAGCCTGGTGAGATTGATTTTTAATATTTTTGCGTCTTTTGGATTG